TTAGTGAGACACTACCGAATACGAGACCGGTGCTGCGCCATCGATCCTCGAGCGTGAACGCGTTAACGAGCATGGCACTTCCGGTCCCAGCTTTAATTAACTCTAACTTTTTGGAAAATACAGGATTTGTGATATTTTCCTAGCGGTTTGAAAATCTCGCTTTTGTTTGCGGAAAGTACACAGCTTCTAGGACATTTTCATTCAGATGTTTGTTATTAGTCGCAGATGGCTAACGAACTATTGATTTTGCTCGATTAATTGGACCAATTTGGGTTAATTAATTTTTGATCATGATGTTAGTTATTCGAGCGTGATGGTAGTGGTGGGAATATTATTAATTGTTTAACTTATGGCGGAATAGAAACTGCGATTTCTTGCCTTTTCAAAACCTCCCCAATTAGGGGTTGAAACGGTTTTCGGGAAAAATTACTTCTAACTGTTATATGTCGACTGAAATAGTTCGACTGAAATTATAGAATCTACTTAGTATAGCTATTTTTATATAATCGTGATAAAATTATTTAGCTTCTATGACAGCTTGAAAAGTCGAAATAGATATTACAAATGTTTCCAAATTGTTATATACCGATTTTGAATGAAATAGTTCGACTGGAATTATAGAATCTACTTAGCATAGCTATTTTTATATAATCGTGATAAAATTATTTAGCTTCTATGACAGCTTGAAAAATGGAAATAGATATTATACCTATTTCAAGACCCTGGTTCCGATCTGTTTAAATATTAGTTTCGCGCGAAATATGTATTTTAAAAGTTTCTTAAATTACTTTGAAAACTGAAAAATATTTGTACATACGGTGTTATTGAATTTGAGCGAGAAGTCGTGTAACAAAAGCTAATTCCGACGATTGTCAAAACGAAATCCGTCACAGGGAAATTATTAAAAACCTCTGGCATTGGCGCGTAAAAATTCGCGGAAATTTCCGATAATTCGCGCGTTTTAATTCGACAACAAGATAAACACTTTTCCCGCGGACACGGTAATCGAATTTCAATAAATAAAACACGATATGACGAATAATTCGCGTTAGCAATTTTCCATCGGCTCGATACGTTCCCTGGAGAACGCCACGTGTTACAAGCGGGAAACTTCGTTAATTTTTCACCGGGTGGAGAAAAAATCGCAGATTCCTTATTACGTCCCTGTATTAATTGAATTTCGATAGCGTTGCCATTGTTCCCGCGTAAAGGGCGTTAAGCGTAATTGAAATCGGTTAAAATGAAATCCCTCCCCCCCGATTATTTCCACGCACGAGTGAGAATGATGCACGTAACGAGCATAAAAATGTCCACGAAGCATTCGGCAACTGAGAAAATGACTGACTGGCGCAGCACGGGTTCGTGTACTTAATAATTTGTATACACGTATGTACTTGTCTTTGCATCCAAAATGGGAAATTCGCATTGTCCATCTACCTTATACGATTACGTAACACAAGAGACATGCTTTCTTTTCTGTAACTAGCATGAACTATGCGATAATAACAACGCAAAATAATGTATGCAGTGCGTGATTTATGCAGCCCCGGCTGTAGACGTCCAATCCTACGAGTTTCGGGTAAATTGATAACAAATGACTTTCTGACAATCGCTAAATAATTTCATAAGAATTATAACAATTTCTATAATTATCTACCTAGATGAATTATGTTCGTTTATACTCTAATATTATCCGACAGATTTCGATTTAAAAGGTCAATCACCGTTCGATTTTTACTTCTTTTTCCTTTTTATAATAATATTATGAAATAATAATAAAATTGTTGTAGCTGTAGCAAATATTGTATAGCGGAATATTTTTTTAGGTACTTTTCTGTAGCTGTTGCTTTAGTTACTTTTTTCTAGTTATTTTCTCTAGTTTCCTAAATAATTAGTCGCTATTTCCTCATAATATTTAACACATTTTTATACGATATATGTGTTGATTATATGTGGAAATATTTTCTATAGCTGTTACTATAGTTACTTTCTTCTAGTTACTTTTTTTAGTTTCCTAAATAATTAGTCGTTATTTCTTTATGATATTGTTATAGCTGTAGCAAATATTGTATAGCGGAATATTTTTCTAGGTACTTTTCTATAGCTGTTGCTTTAGTTACTTTTTTCTAGTAACTTTCTCTAGTTACCTAAATAATTAGTCGCTATTCCTTTACGATAATGTTACAGCTGTAGCAGAACATTTTTTTAGGTACTTTTCTGTAGCTGTTGCTTTAGTTACTTTTTTCTAGTTATTTTCTCTAGTTTCCTAAATAATTAGTCGCTATTTCCTCATAATATTTAACACATTTTTATACGATATATGTGTTGATTATATGTGGAAATAAGTAATGTAAGAATATAGCTACTAGATTAATCCTTTGCACTCGAAAATCTTTTTCCTATGAAGATATAATAATTCGAAACTTTTCTTACATTTTTTATACTCGATGCTAATGCATTTATGCTAAAATAGAAAAAGAAACCACTTGTATTTCATATTGCCTCATATTCGTTACTTAAGCTTCAAGATATTAAAACAAACCGTAACTGAGAACCACTGCTCTAGTGTTAAGGCAAGTATGTAACTCTATTAATTTTTTAAATTGCGAAACTTTTAATATTTCCTATACAACTTAAGCTTCTTTCACAATCTTCGTATTTACAACATCTGACACTCTTCCACCATAATTTCCATTCCCTTGCACAATCTACCCTTTAATTTCTTCATCCATATATTTACCATAATTTACCCTTACTTAAATGAATTTACATTATACAAATTTCCAACAAAATTTCGCAGCTCCTGTCACGAGCTATCGAATAAGCTTTCCCCGAATTTCCGAAATTCTCGTATAACAAATTCGACGTCCGCAGCCAGGTCGGATGGGTAGTCACTGTAACTTTATACACGAACAACGTCTCGACGTATCGTGAAAATACCCTCGGCTAACAAAGTCTCGAATTCCTTCCGGTCCCAACGCGACAACGCTACTCGACAACTTGCAAGCAAACGAAATATCCAGAATACGTCTGAGCAGCGAAAAAAATCTCTCGATCCTCGCTCTCGATCGATAGATCAGCCTGATGTCCCATCCCATGTCCTCCCCTGTTCCCTTTTCGTACCCAGACTCGATCAAGCGGCTAGCATGCAACGACACGTGGATCACGATTCCCGTTTCGTTTCCCCTAACAGTCCGCAAAGTCGCCGGATCGGGTTCTCGAAAGGATGAAAAACCTCGTTTTCGAGGCCCGATTTCCGTGCATCATTGTAAACGCGAATCACCGATCGTTATGATTCGTGTCACCCACTTGCCAATTCTATTTTTCCGCCAGATCGAACAACGCTGTAAACAGTATCGGCAAAGTGAGCGCACGGATATCAGCGAGACGAGATCTCGTTGCACAAAGAGGGCGCAAAGAGAAACGGTCTGACACGCGTATGCATACGGGACACTGCACCGTGTTGCGTTGCAACAAACAGCTGTTATTACGAATCTGTTTCTCTTCTTTCTATCTTTTCTTTTTTTTTTTTAGGGATTTTTCCTGTTGCGTCTACCTCGATAGTAAATGTGCTAGTGATCTATGAGATGCACCACTCACGACAAATATGCATTACGTCCACGCAGTTCTTTCAATCGAGACAATGGCACGAGGAGGCTACCTGTTGGTGTGATTATCGAGAATTCGATACTATATTATGGGGGATGTTACATTGCAGAGTATGGGATTATTAACAGTAGAACTACCGAGTAAGTTAAGGTAATGGGATTCCGATATTTTGTTTCATTTTTATTTTTATTTAGGTGAAAGAATTGTTAATTGAATTATAATCGTGCATAATTCGAGTGTTATTTAGACGTATATTATGTATAAATTGGTAGTTCTAGTGTTAGGGGAATAACTTGGCAGGGTCGTGTTGTGCGAGGTAGCTCGTATATCTGATTCGATAAGCTCGATTTTTGGAGAATTTTTTGAAGTCTCGTTGATAGCAGAGATATGTGAGATTTGTACCCTAATTGGTGCATTGTCGTTGATGCAACTGCCAGACGGTTTGGTTAATGCGTATTCATCGTTGCACGATGTGATGTGACGTAAATCTGGTACTGTCAACGTGAGTATTCCGTGAGTGTGAAGTGTGTTCGTCTGTTGTAATGATCGTTCGATTCTGACATGGGTTCCTTCAAGATTTTGGTTTGTATGTTTGGAAAATATTCAATGACTATTTTCTTCAATTTTTGTTATATATGGTAATTAGGATCTAGAGTAATACTATACGACAAATTTTATGTTTTTCTCTGATCTGTAATATCCATTATAATATCCATTGTAGAGTTCATTTTCCTGAATAGGAATCAGTAATCAAAAATACAGTTTCCGAAAAATGAGTTTTCCTAAAAATGCACGATTTTTGGCTATAAATTTAATTCACAGACAAAAATTAAAAAGTGTCAGGTGGTTCATTATTGTTATAAAAGTTAGGTGAGAGAAGTCCAAATTTATCAATGATTCTTTGATGACCAATTATAATTATTCAGAAATAAAAATAATTATAGTTATGGACACTGTTAGACTCAGAATACTCTCATCTAAGTTGTAAAGTAACAATTAACCTCCTAGCCTTCTTGCTTTTTACATAATACTTCATTTCAACCAAAAATCGTGCAATTTTGATAAATATTCGCAATTTTCGAAAACTGTGATAGAGGTTGATATAGAAATCTCAAATATGGATTCATTTTTAAAAAAGCAAATTCTACAACAATTTCCCAATGGATATTACAGATTAAAATTCCCGTTGAACAGTGTAATTAATTAATAGTCATATTATTAATCTTCTATGTCCCCTGTATTGAATCAATTTGCGCGAGTTATATCGGATATTAAAAGAGAAAAATTTAGGTGTCTTGAAGAAAGTCCATTCGATGGTCTACGTCATGCGAATCGTTGTGAACAACCGATCACAATGACAGTCACGGAGTAAGAAGCAAAGTGTAACTTACATTTCATCTGATTTCGTTTGCGTCTGCAAACGATGTAGATCACCACGCAGATTATGATTATCACGAGTATAAGGACAACTGCAGCTACGATGATTATGGGAAGAAGATACCCTTCCAATTGTTGCCACCAAGGTATGTGACCTGAAATATGTACAGATTTAAAACAAAAGCTTCTTATGTGCAAATAATTGATTTTTATCAAACTTACGACGAACATAATTTTTTTTTTTTTAAATATCACGTTCATATATTATTTCATAAACAATCATTCGTGTGTAAAATACTAGTTTCGTTTAACAAGATAATTTTTTAATTCATTCTTTTGGCTCGAAATATTGTATTATTTTTAATTTAATTCTGCTTACACGGAATCATGTTTTACGTACAATATTTTCATCCACGGAAAATAATTTGGAAGACGCAGAGTTTTCGTGTTTTTTATTCACAATTTTGAGGGCCATTTTTTATCTCTAGATACGAACGATAATCGATAAAAAATGGGAGGAAAAAAGAAATACTACGCTCTCCGCAAATTTCATGAAAGTCGGTTATTAACACTTTGCGAACCTCTCGAGTTAATAAAATTAATAATCGATCCTGGAAATTTCGCGAATTTTCGATAAATGCGGGAAAAATTTATGGAGAAATCAAAAAATACGAGAATCCTGGGAAACCTGACGCTTTCGCTATTTTTCAAACCACGCGAATATTTTTATTTCTTCATCAATGCATTGCATCTATCGCGAAACATTTAATCAACGATTGAAATTTCGTTGAAGAGGATCTAGAAATCTGTAACTATTTCTTGAATCGAGAAAACCGCATGAAATATAGCACGCGATGGAACAAACGTTCGAAAGCTTTTATGAAACATAGTAAAAAATTCTGAAATGATTTAACGTAAACAAAACCTTTAAAAAATTCAAGCAAAACGATTTCTTTTATTCGGCAGCTTACAAAGATCCACTGATTAAATTTTCGAGCAGGGAGAATTTTCCCTGGGGATTTAAAAATGCTTGTACTTGTCGAATATTAAAATTAGATATTGTATCAGGAATAACGCGAGGTTTCCACGAAATCCGACAGAGCGAAATTATTTTATTTCGCGGATCCCTTGAAAATTTTTTCGCGAAACTAGAGACAATGAGATTTCACGGCAGCCCTCCTCTGTCCTGAGATAAAACAGTCGGCGGAACAGTTGCAATTCAAATTTCGACGACAGCTGTGAAATATTATAAATACAGAAAGTGAGACGACCGATCTCGAGGGAAGCTTTTCATATTTCTGCTTAGATTTAATCCATTCCCCTTGCTCTATAATATTTTACCAGAAGCTGCCTTTATTAAGGGAGTTTATGCGCTTATACAGGGTGCTCCATTTTAATCAACCCGGTGAAATATTTTGAAAGCTAAGCAACCCATAAAACTTCTTTCCCCCCTTGAGAAGGAAACAACATAATCGAGATCATTTTTTATCGAGCTGATTATTTTTCAAATTGCTTTCAGCCACTTTTGTAACTTTCTTCACTCGCGAGACGATCTTTATCTAAAAAGGAGAAAAAAATGAAGAATTTAAGAAATAACTCGAATAGGCAATTTTATTTAACGAGCCTAGGAATATCTTATTCAATTTTAATATCTATTTCAATATTTATTTTAATATTCCTATTATATTTCTTACCATTACTTAGACAATTTAGGGAAAATAATATTTTTTGAATATTTAAGATACACAGAATACAGAAAAATATGTAATAACGTAATTGAATATATACGTAACTAATAATTATAATGTTCACATGATATAATGTATATTATATATATAATACGTTAGTTTATATATTATATATGTAATATGTAATTATATATTACACAGAAATGTTTATGAAACATAAAAATCTGTCAATTGTGTCAATCATAAATATATTTTCCTAAGATGCAAAGTCTAGTTTCTATTATACAGCTTTCAATAGTATTACATTTTATTCTCAATTAACTACTCATTTCGTATGACTCCATTAACAATGAAATATACGAAACATAAGGTTTAATTTCAAGAAATTATATATAACACAATAATTATGATTGAACTTACTTCGATGTCCATGGTGAGCTAAGAAGAAACAGAAAGTGTACAATATCTTTTACTCATTTATCAACTAATTAAAAGAGTATTATAAATAAATATCGATAATACACAAAATAATTTTAACAATGTCCAATTTTTAGATCCAAGCTGGATAATTCGTTGCAGAACCAACTTCGTTTCATTTTCTGTTATAGTAGCTACTCGTATCTCTTCGATATGCTAAATTAGAACGCACAACGAAGCTATTTCTATGAAAATTTTAATAACCGTCCATGAAAATGTTTATCGTAGATTTATTTAATCGCCCGGATATTCATATCCTCCCGGGGAAAGTTGCATTTTCCTTGGAAGAAATGATAACACTTAAGAAGTCGGAGGGTGAACGTCCCAGTGGAGGCGTTTTGAATTATTTTGTCATGTAATTTATATTCGTACTCTTATCTTGTATTTTTACAGACGATTACCGACGAATCCTCCGCGCGATAAATTTCGCTAATTTAAAATAATCGAATATGAGAAATAAAGGGAAAATGAAAATTTAGAAATGAAGGAAGAACGTCGAGGGTCAGGATTGGTAATAAGGTTGAATATTAAAGAGGAAAATTTAATATTATACTACTTTATAAAATTATGGAAATTATTTAAATCAATTATTAAATAATAACAACGAATTATAAATTTTTGACGGTATTTTTATAGCTATATTATTTTTAAAAATTCGAATAATAATAGCTGAGATATTTAGATATTCGTAGTTTTCACGAATAGGATTATTATTAGATGCTAAAACTACACGAAAATTATCGAAATTCTGCTAATAATTTATTCCAAAAACAAAACAAAATTAATAATATTTATTATTAAGGAATTCGTAGCATGATCTTTCATAATAAAAAATTTCTGACTATGAATATATCATACATAAACCCATCATACGACACTGAAGTTACCAAAGAGATGACTGAAATTCTGCTCACAATTCACCATATCAACCAAAAACGAAAAAAAGAAAAAGAAAATGATCCAAAGGAAACGAAAATTACATCCAAATGCGATTTCGATCTCGGTTCGAGTTTCCGAATCTCGAACAGATCGACACGAAGGAAACTACCGCATTTAGGTTCATCCGCGTGGTCGAAGTCGTTGAAAATTCATGTTCACGTCGTATCTACATAAACCCTAATAAAAGTATAACTTCCTCATCGTCTCGATCCTTGTCCTACTCTACATTTACATGCGATCTGCATATTATTAACAAAAGTGTTAGGGTAGTATTTTAATTGGAACGACTTCGAGCATCCTTTGACGACCCTTCGCGATCCGTCATTTTAGGGGTGCCTCGCACGCGCGAGAAATAATCGTCGTCGTTTTGACGTTTCCGAAATAAACGGGAGAAATAAATGAGGGGAATGCAAATGGCCGAATACGATTTCAAGCGAATAAATTAGCCTTTCGAATTTCACACGTGTCCGCGGCCAATCTAATTTACCAACTTCGAACCGAAATGCTCGTGTCAGGACGCGGAAAAATGTGTCTCGTTGTACCGATTCCTGTTGATGGATCGCCAAGTGTCGCGGGAATTAAGAATTTGGTTATTGGAACTGCTCGAACTCGTGATAAATGGGTCGGTTAATCCTTCGTGGATGGATGTTCCGCGAATATATGGCTGCGACCCCCTTCGAATGTCGCGAGATGGAAAGGGTGGTAGGGGTGGCTTTTTAACACGTTCGTCGCCCAGTGCGATTCGATTGAGTTTCTCACGGGGCCTTAATCCGATTGTCAAAGCTCCAGAACGATAGCGGACTGATGATTTGGATGGGTCTGTAGTGACCATCGTTCTCACCCTCGCCACTAGATAGATTCCGACTTCGAAGAATTCAAGTCCTCGGAAAATTTCCAAATCCTATATATATATATATTAGTCTGTTCGCTGATGATTTCAGTTCCACAGCAATTCTATAATAATCAATGTATATCTCAGTAATGAATTTTATGTCAACTAATCTAAATTTTAATGTAAAGATAATGATAAGGAAAGATGAAAATTTATCAACTTTCATCTGGCTAGAGAAACGAAAATATTGATCGCGGTACAAAATGAAATATTTATCATTTTATTTATAACTCGGAGCTATACGATTTTATATAATATTTAAAATAATTATACAACAATTCACTATACTTATATAAATTTGCTGCAGTTTTATCACGCATACGTTTCGTCTCTATCTTCTGAAACATTCGACTCACAACTAACTAAGATTATACACTTGAGTTCCAACGGCCAATGACAAAACAATTACGAAAAAAGCGAAAATTGCAATAATTGGTTGCAATTGCGAACAGAGGAAAGAGAATCGATAGCATTTGACTTGACTTCTGGTACCATTTTTGTGGCGACTGACTATAGTCATCCGTAGTAGCGAAAGGACTAACGAATACCATGCGACATAGTGTAATGTAATATTTTATCCTAAATATAAATTAACCCTTCGCGTTCGACGATTTTTTGATTAAAGAAGGGTACGAGTTGAAAAATTTTCTGCTTTGCATCGACATCGTGATTAATATAAAAAGTATCTTATAAATTATCCTGTATAAATCAACGAGGTATAATTTCTGGAAAAACTGTTTCAAAAATTTGTGCAATTCTTTGCGCCGAAGAATTTAAATTTTGGAAATTTAATTTTATTTATTTTCTATGCAAGCTTTTTAATTTTCAGTTGTAATGTAATAATGCTGCAGCAAGATAAAATTTGGTCGATAATAGCTTGGAATATTTTTATTGATAATTTAACCCTTTACACTCGACGATTTTTTGGCTAAAGAAGAATAGGAGTTCAAAGATTTTCTGTTACAAAGCTGATGATATTTTTTGAACAGGAAATAAGAAATCGTATAATAATTAACACGCAGCATTATTTAATTTCGATACCTCGCATAATGTCACATTATTTCAAATTTGATATATTAATTAATATCGAGCTTTGAAATTTTATCAATGGCGCCTCTCGAGTGCAAATAATTAATAAAAATATAGTATAATGTGTATATTTTTAATATTTCTATGTTCGATATCCTGTATTTATATTTCAGTTATAATTCATTAAATTCCTTCTAAAAATCCGACTAAAAATCTTATTTAACTTAAATAAAAAGAGTGTCACCCATATTTGGGTGACGGGCCCCCACGGAAGCATACCCGTCACCCTTTACAAGGAGAAAAAATCCTATTGAATTGCTATAGCCATTTCGATTCAATAGGATTTGACTGAAAAATTAAATTTTACTGACAGTTTCGACTAATATAGTGGTGGGCTAATTTTTTTACATGAATAAGGAGAAAAAATCCTATTGAATTGCTATAGCCATTTCGATTTAATAAGATTTGACTGAAAAATTCATAGGGTTAATAAAAATATAGTATAATATGCATATTTTTAATATTTTTATGTTGTATATCCTGTATTTATATTTCAGTTATAATTCATTAAATTCCTTCTAAAAATCCGTCTAAAAATCTTATTTAACTCGAACAAGAAGAGTGTCACCCATATTTGGGTGACGGGCCCTCACGGTAGCATACCCGTCACCCAGATATGGGTGACGCGGCGACGAACGTGTTAAGGCTGATCAAAATTTCGCAAACGCGAATTCTTCGATGGATAACGGAGGTTTCATTCGCGATAGAAAGTTCAAACTTGAAATGTCGATTACCGACCAGTTAAAGGGAACGACAAGGGCCATTGTCGTAAACGTCGCAGTTTCGAGTCGCTTCGTTTTTATCGTGCACCAGTATCCGTTTCTTTGCCTCGGCATAAAATGAAGTTTCATCCTAGGAAAGATCTTAGTAAAAATGTAAAGCATCTCTCTATGAATATTTAATAACGCTGACAAGAAAGTAATCTCGTTTTTGTAACTTTGCAATGCACCAGCCCGTATAGAGCAAGAGGATAGTACATGCTAAGCAAAGGATCGTTTAAAATTTATCTGCAGTGTGTCCCTTTAAACAGTTTGTACATCCATTTGAAACACTTAGACACCTTAACTATTTCAAATCTGTTAGAATTTTTCAACAAATGTTATTCGTGTCCATTACGTCGAATTATTTCATTTTCTACGTTAGAGAAATTTAAATTCTTTATACAGCATTAAATAAAAATTTAAGCTTGATATTTTGAAAGATATTGCAATATTTAACTTCGATAAAATTTAAGCCATCGTAGGTCGAAAATTTTTATGAAATTCGAAACTTCTATATCGAATTCTTGACTTCTTAATATTTTTATTTCCTATATTATTATTTCTTTTATATCAAAAATTATAAAAAAAGAACAACATAAAAAGTTAAAAAAATGCCAAAATATTCTCTGAAAGATATTTCGATAGGAAAATTTGATAAAGCTAAATCTGCATAATTCAAAAAAGTTTTAGTTTCTGCCATAGGACTCTAGTCACCAAAGTGATTGTATTTGAAAATTATACCTGGTACTCGTCGATTGGTGTATTAAAATAAAACGATTAAAAAGGAATATAACACGTAACGAATAAAGTATGATAAATTGTAGTATGAAAAATCGTGTAAACGTAATACCAAAGAGAAAAAGCAACGGTGACATAATAAGTTTAATAAGAACACGAGGTACAAATAAATGAAGTACTCGGTCGTAGTCTGGCATTTTTTAAGAGGCCAGGGGATGATTCTTGGCTTCCTTAATCTCACGCTTTCAGATTCCCGGTGCCGGGCATTTTTCTTTTACACGCGAATTACAGCCGGAAAATATAATACAAAAGCCACGATGGGAATGTTGATATCATGAGAGGGAAAATGACTGTGGCAAAGGAATCCATTCCGCGTAAAAATTCGCAGCGGTTGAAAATGGTATCCCATTCGTAATTAAATCGCGAGTTTTCATCGCGATGCACTAGGCCTCCGTCATTAAAACTCTGTTATTTCAATGCGATAGAAGCGTGACGTAAGTGTGACACCGACGTGGCCATTAAAAATTGTCCGTAAGGTAACTGGAAGATCGTAAAATACGATCGACAAAGTCACGTGACATTTTATTGTCGAGATATTGTTTCACCGGTACCAAAAATATCAATTTTGAAATTAAGAAGCATCGAAATAAAAATGTCAAAAATAAAAATGTCAAATGATATAAATTATTTCCTGCTAAAAATTGGAATAATTTTTCCCTTTCCCGATATTTAAATTGATTTATCATAAATATTCATTAATAAATTTCAAAGGTATTGCGAATAAAGAGATAATAGTGTATGGAATACACGGTAAATCATTGTAAATAATAAATTAAGGAAAATTCTTTTTAAAAAAGAACAAGAAGGAATATTAAGTAAAGAACGATGGAAATAATACAATTATTTGAAATATAAGCAGCATTCAAGCAATTAAATAAAAATATTGGATCGTGAATGTTATAATATTCATCCACAAAGGGTTAACATTGATCTTCTCCTCTATTAGAAAAATTAGGCATTAAATTGTAATATTAAGCATTATATTATACTTAATTTATAACCGGTAGGACGATACATATGAAGCACAGAGCTATAATTGAATCATGGCTCATTCATGGCCTATTAACATTTACAATGCAATGAATACTCTGACGTAAATGTAATTTATCATAATTTAATTTAACTCTAAACCTACTAATAATGTGCTTCACAAACCCATACGAATAGAAACAATATTCTATTTTAACATCTTTCTCTCTATATATATACAATTCGCAAAACACATAACATATGATCAAGAAAATGTAACACGTTGAAACATTATTAAATTTCATGCAGACCAGAATTTTTTCCCAGAAATGTGAGATCAAAAGATACCACCTAACCCTAGAATTTCACAAAAGATAACAAATTTAAAATATAATTTAATAAAGAAAATTTCTATGGAAAAAATTGAAAGATCAAAATTCGCAGGATTTACAGTATCGAATGATCTTCGATCCCAAGATTCCATTATTCAAGAATTAATATTCACATAGTCAAATTTTTCTCAATTTTTCTCAATCGATCACTTCGACATAGAACGTGGCAAAATTCTTTGTGGTCCACTCGAAGGCGATTAATCATGGAAGAAAGCAGAGAAGAAACAGAAGTATCTGAACGTACCTGGAACGTCGCGCTCGCAGGCACTGGAATGGCCGATGGAGTTGTTCGCAACGCAAACGTACGTCCGGAAATTGGTTACCGACGGATCGAGACGGATGTAGCTTTTCCCATTGCGAGTCTCGGCGACCTGCTCCAACGTGTCATTGTCACTCTTCAATGACCAAACGAAATCTGTCTCCTTCGGGTTGGCCGTCGCTGAGCAGACCACGTAATCCTCGTCGTCTATTCGTTCCCTATCCACTTGACACTCGGGCTTAACTGCACAGGAAGAAAGCCGTGCCAACTTACTTTGCTTTTGTTAGGATACATTCGTGTGTTACTTCGACGTACACGTGTCTTTTAAGTCGTCGTTCTTTTCTATATTTTTACTCGTTTTCTTCTTTATAGGCAACGTGTTTGTGGAAAAATAAATATTTCAGGGCAAGTGGTGAATGGAAAATTTCTCTTTCTGTGTTTTTTAAGTTATCCTTCCTTTCTCTTTTTTATTTATATTTTCTCGTTTTTCTGGATGACGTATTTATTAAAACATTAATTTTTCAAAATCAGTGGATGGAAAATTTTTCTTTCTGTGATTTTAAATTATTCTTTCCTTTTTTTTTGTTGGTAATGAATTTGTAATGGGATAAATAGTTCAATAACAAGCGAATGGAAAATTTATTTAAGTTATCCTTCTTTTCTCTTCTTTATTTATATTTTCTCGTTTTCGCAGGTGACGTATTTGTTAAAAAATTAATTGTTCAAAATCAGTGAATGGAAAATTTTTCTTTCTGTGATTTTAAATTATTCTTTCCTTTTTTTTTGTTGGTAATGAATTTGTAATGGGATAAATAGTTCAAAACAAGCGAATGGAAAATTTATTTAAGTTATCCTTCTTTTCTCTTCTTTATGTATATTTTCTCGTTTTTGCAGATGACGTATTTGTTAAAAAATTAATTTTTCAAAATCAGTGAATGGAAAATTTTCCTTCCTGTGTCTTTTAAGTTATTATTCTTTTGTTTTTTTGTTGGTAATGAATTTGTAAAAAGATAAATATTTCGAGGCAAGTAAATGGAAAATTTATTTTTCTGAGTCCCGTAATTTATTGTTCTTTCTTTCTATTTCTATTTTTATTTATTTTGTAGGTATCGTGTTTTGTGAAAAAATTATTTCAAGGCAAGCGAATGGAAAATTTATCTTCCTGCGTCCTCTAAGTAATCATTCTTTTCTTTTCTATTTCTATTTTTATTTATTTTATAGGTATCGTATTTTGTGGAAAAATTATTTCAAGGCAAGCGAATGGAAAATTTATCTTTCTCACAGTTTAAAAAATAAATTTCGTGATATACGTAATCGTGATAATTTTATAGGAGTTTATAAGCTTTTATTACGTAGGAGATGTACGAAATCAGAAATGTGGAAGAAGAGCATTGGAACGTAAGAGAAACCGGAAATCGATAAAGGGATGAAACGTGCAATTGCGTGAAATATTTCACGGTTGATTCGTCACGTTCTCGCTGCTGATCGAAATTACGTTGCTCAATCCAAACGAATTTCGAGCGAGTTCCTACCGGTTCTCGGTTTACCGAACGTGTCTTAAACAATTTAATCGATTCTTGCAAACTTTCAATCTGGACGCGAGGAGTTTATATCGTGTCTATTTTCAACTTCTCTTCTTCATCATCCATCACGTACCGGGTTAATGGCCGAGTATAGGTTAAACTAAGGTAATAACAGGAACAGTATTCCTGAAAATAGCGCCAAATGCACCGGAAAATATTTATATTCCTCGGAATAGCAAAATTATCAACTCACTTCCAATTCTTTCAATATTTCTAATAAATTTAATATACAAGTTTACACAGATTTGTAGCATATATTTTCCAAACAGGAATTATTATTTTTAACCAATATCACAAATAACATTAATTTTAATATTTTTCGTAGGAAATATTCTCCAATAGACACAAATATAAATTACCCCCTTATTTTCGCTACAAATATATCACTCTTACAGTATTCAATTGCTAATCATTACTCAGGTCTCACTAAAATGGTAGTAGAGACAAATAGAGTCAGGAGACTCGAATGGTCTTTGATTGGTAATTACTAGTGGAATGTGGAAAGTTAGGGGCAAAAGAAATTTTCAGATTTATCGATTAGGCGAGTACGATAGCTTCGAAGTCCTATAGTCGACTTAACACTAGAACTACCGATCTTTAATGGGTAGGCAGATTATAGTAATTTCAGCGGTACGATGAATACGAGTGAATATATCGATTACAGTTCTTTCATAATATGGAGTTGTTACCAATTTTATTCTTAAAGCAGGTGTATGTGTTCGGTGATTGCAAAAAGGAAAATTCTGGGACCAGTCATCTGCACTGGGTTGGTAGTTCTGGTGTTAAATATAGTAGATAGATAATTATATTATAAATAAATGAGGATACTCAAACTAATATAATAAAAATTCCTTCATCTTAATAAAAGTCAACATTGAGATATAAGAATATCTTTATCCTTTAACTATTTCTAAGTATTATTTATAATTTCACAAATTATAGCGTTAAATTTATTTTTCGCAAATCAGTGTATTTCGGTATACACCTTCATCCCCATGAAGAAGCAAAACGTCCAATTTTAAATAACCGTCTCCGAACCCATTAACATAATATTCCATCTCGAAACTACGTTCTTCATCGTTCCGAAATGCTACCTACCGTTTCTCCTCTTAAAACTATGAAATAAACATTCTTCGAGGAAGCAGAAAAACTACGGGAGAATATAAAAAGATAGGAAGAAAGAGAAACGAAGGAAAGAAATATTCGAAAAAATAAAGAAGAAAATCGTTGCTGCAGTTGCTCCGGTCCCCCCTGAAGAAAACACTCAGCCACGGGAACATAAATCTTTCTCAATATTTGAACGTCACTCGAGATGACTGGAAGCTTGCACGCCAGGATGTTTCTTTACTTACATTGAACATTCATGACGAAGGTAATGTTCCAGCTTCCGTGGCGATTCCATGCATTGCAATAGTACGTTCCGTTGCTGCGTTTCGGCACTGCGACCTTTAAATCGAAAACCCGGCCTGTCATGATGAGGTCCGTGGATCCTACCCGATACCAGCGGAATATGGGGCCCGGATTTGCCTTCGCGTCGCAGGTCACCGTTTCCGGTATCGTGTCCACGGTCACGTTTATCATCGTCTTCGATATCGTCACATTTTCCGGCGGGTCTGAAAGAAAATGGCGATTTTATCGATTTCATTGAAAGGATATCGCGAGGAATTAAACAAGCGAAAAGCAGTATTGTAAAAGGAAGCATAATGGAAGCATTGTGCCACGCTGAACCAAAGTCACGTCTGCGTGACAGGGGATGGCAAAGTGTTAACGTCGCTAACAGTGGATAAATAGTTTCCTTCTTCGCCAATAGAGATGGGTTGCTACATAATTTTATATTTTTCTTAGGGTATCGAAGGTAACAGGTGATTTTGACAGTTTCTAGATAGCAGAATGATTCAGACGAAGTTAGAAGAGGATAGAGTAGATGCAACGAGGGTACGTTTCAGAGTGGAAGAAGCGTATTGCATTAGTAAATCCAGGTTAAACATCAGTATGTCTTAGGGGCTGGTACAGTTCAAACATGAACTCCGAGCAACCCGCGAAATTTCTACGAACTAACCTAATCGATTTCGACAACCGAGCAACTCGAACATAATTCGAGTACTAACTTGCGGCTTCAGTGATATACAGAGTGAGCTAAAAGTCACGTTTCGTGTGCCAGCTGTTCGTAACTGTTATGAATAATAAATATATTTGAAATAATCGGAAATAGGTAACGACAGCGGAACTGATGATTTATTTAACGAAAAGCATATTGCGATTAATGCATGCTTTGAGAAATAAGTTTTTGCGATTATTTAGGCTAGTATTGCGAGAGGAATCTTTATTTAGATGGCGTCACTCCGATCAATTCACGAAGCTGAGTTGAGTGACAGAGTGGGTTATCATAGAGATTATAAAAAGGGTTAGATAGGGCACACTTTTTGACAGTCCACTGTCTGCACCACGCGTCATAGAAGAATTCGAGCCTCCGTTTATTTCATACCACCAAGAAATAAAAATATAATCGGAGTCAAAAGTTCCTTTTAATTTATTAACCTTTTGCACTCGGCGATTTTTTCGTTATAGGAAACTAGTAATTCGAAGATTTTCTGCCATAAGGTCGACGATATTTTTAAAGCGGTTAATAAGAAATCGTTTGCACTTTTGCGAGAAGAGTCTTCATTTGGATGGCGTTATCATGTATAGGGATATATGTTTGCTTCCAGGAACCATCCAGCTTATCAATTCTCGAAGCTGAGTTGAGTGACGCAATGAGTTGTCATAGGACCTATAGAAACCTAGCTGACGGGATTGACGGGACACTTTTTGACAACCCACCGTCTGCATCACGCATCTCTCGAAATAAAATATAACCAAAGTTAAAAGTTCGACTTATAAATCCAATTTTTACTACACTTTAAGACGAAAAATTATTTTACTTCGATATTCCACGTATCCTTGGGTAATTGTAAATTTGATATATTAATTAACAGCCATCTTTAGAACCTGATTAAATGGCGACTGAGAGGTGCCACCCGAGTGCAAAGGGTTAATCCGATCTTACCATAGCATAAGTTCTGAAAATTGCGTTTTATCTCGATTTTGTTCTCGTTTTGAAATATTAAAATGCGATGATGTAAAATTTTATTTTGCGAAAATGTGACCTGGAATTTGACCCACTCTATATATTATAACTATCGAAATCTGGGATATCAATTTCCCTTTATTAATGCCTCACGTGATCGTCGCTCGAATCATCGTCATCTACCAAAGCCTCCATTATCACCGAACGATTTAATAGAAACGATTCAGAGCTAATCCTTCATGAACCAATCGTCTGTTGCATATTTCTGCAATTATTTCGCTGTATGTTCCCTGCCTGGGATTTCACAATTCCTGAAATTTACGATAGTCAACGAAATATTAACTTCAAAGCCGCCATTTTGTATATTTTTGATTACGTTTTCGTCATCTTGTTTCATAATTTCGCGATTTCTCGTGCAATTTATACACAGGGTGAACTTAAATTAACGTTACCTAACCCAACCCATGGGTGATCTTACCTGTAGAAATAAGTCGAAGAAAGCGAAAAGTTTGGTCAAAAAGACCCGAAAGTTTTCTGAGGAAATTGAGTTGCAAAACTTCGAGCACACGTGCACTGGATTAACTTTTCAATTAATTATCCATCGCAAACGTTTCCTCTCTCTGAACCACATTTGTGACAGATAAAAGCTTTCTAAAGCTACATTTCTATCCTTTTTCCGCAAAGCGATCGATGCGAGAAGAGAGCTCAATATTCTCAGGTCATTTTCCACCCAATATCGAGTACTTAACCGAATTTAAGTTCGGGCATTTGCAATCCTAGCGACATGGGAACGCGTTGGAGACATAAACCAGTCGCGACATTTCGATGCCTACAAATCTTCCGGGGCCAAGTTTTCGAAGATTTGTGCGTGTTCTGGCGTGCGCTGTTCACGCCCGATTTATTGCTCTGAACTTGGCTACTTCCCTGCAATGCGTTTGAAAATGCCTCGGTAATGCTCGGATATTAAAACCGACATCCTTCACAGTTTCGCTTGTGACTAACATTGTTGAGTTTAACGTTTCGTTGTTGTAGCATTGGCGAGTGGACTGAGCGACTGTCAGTGCGATTGACGGGTGTTTGGAACGGTGTCACAGTGCATGGAGAGGACGTTTATGCTAGATTAACATGACTGAGTTCCTAAAATGTGGAATTTGTTTATGCTAGATTATTACGAATGAGTTCCTAAAATGTGGAGTTTGTTTATGATAGATTCGCATGATTGAGTTCCTAAAATTTGGAATTTACTTATGCTAGATTAGCATGATTGAGTTCCTAAAATTCGGAATTTGTTTATACTAGGTTAGCATGATTGAGTTCCTAAAATTCGGAATTTCTTTGTGCTAAACTATCACGAATGAGTTCCTAAAATTCGGAATTTCTTTGTGCTAAACTATCACGAATGAGTTCCTAAAATTCGGAATTTCTTTGTGCTAAACTATCACGAATGAGTTCCTAAAATTCGGAATTTCTTTGTGCTAAACTATCACGAATGAGTTCCTAAAATTCGGAATTTATTTATGCTAGATTATCATGAACGATTTCCTAAAATTCGGAATTTTTAGACAATATGTAATACGAGTGTGTGATGAGTATGAATATAATAAGGAATGTCAGAAGAGTCTTATGACAGAATCCTGCGTGAGCGTTGCTAAAGAGAGTTCTCAACTGTATTTTATGCAATATCTAACAAATATTATTAAATAAAGAGGGACAACAGCTCTACCCTTGCTGTACCAAATCCAACAAATTTGTGTGCTCGTCCTACATCGTTAAAAAAAGAAATAAACTAATAAAATCAGACTATTCTCAAAAATAGTACCAGGCATCTTACACAAGCTGTCTCATTACATCTAATAATCCTTCTCACAAAATAATCTTCGACCATCTGTATATAACGCTTCCTCAAAAACCCCACACGATCCAACCAATCACCACAAACCTAACCTCATTCTACACGTACAAAAAGTCAAATAAACTCACATTCCACGTGCAGGTTGGTGCTACTGTTCACTCCAGGTCCGATGCCATTACTGCTGCTCTCGCAGGTGAACTTAACGTTGTCTTCGATACGATCCAACTGGCCATTAGGCCAAGCAGTCAGGTTCCAGATCAGGGTCGACTGTATGCTCTCGAAATCGTTCGTTCGCGGATCAGGCTGGTGATAGACGTTGGACACGTAGTATCGGTTGGTCTTCGAGAAATCCATCGGTATACCGTCCCTCAGCCAGGAGATGTTGCACATTGGCGCGCACTCCACCCAGCACATGATGCTCACGTTCGTAGAATTGTAAACGAAGCCATGATAAGAGGTCAGCTTCTCGATAAACGCAGGCGCCGCTATTGACAATCAAAGAACAAGTTCAACCGGTCCTAGCTGTGACGACGGAAGAGGTATTGTTGCAGGGTTGAGGAAGAGATAAGGGCGTATCTCGGGAAATTTTCTGGAAAGTTTCATGTCTGGCACCGTTACAGATCGGATGTCACGAGTACGATTGTCGGAGAGATGGTTCGAACTAGCGATGGACGGATTGGTCGGTTGCAAGTATTGCTGCGACTTTTGGAGAACTGATACCGTGACAAGGTACATGGCGGAGAAGTGGGGATGAAGTTAGGTGAATCTATTGTGCCATATATCGTGGCATGATTTTATCGTGGCTTGATTTGTAAGATGTGTTGAGTTCTGTTGAAAAATAGTAGCGTAATATGAGCCGTTCACTGCACAAATCGATTAACTCCACTTTTTGAAAAATTGTAAATTTAAGTGTCAAAGTACCTGGTATAGTTATAACTTTTTATATTTAAAATTTTTCAAAAAGTGGAGTTAATCGATTTGTGCAGTGAACGACTCATATATTCGTCCATGAAATCAGAGAATCGCTAAATTTTAATTGAAAAATTGTTATTTGGCAGGAACCTCGTCCAAGGAAATGGTATAACAGCCTACCTAATCGTAAGTTGATTTTGGACAGTGAAATTATTATATTTACGCCCCTGGATTCAACATTTTAAATACCTTTTTATTTTAACACACAGCTGTCTTTCTAAAATATTTTACAAATTCGAACGATTTTATGAAGCTTTGAAAATTTTTAGCGCGATTTCATTTTATAGTGAAAATATCGAGGAAAGTCTCCTCTTTCTAACGACCGTTTAAAAATTGATGTACTATTTTTCCTCACTGTGTTACCTTGTTTTTCTTTCACAGTCTAAATTGAACAATTAAGAAACCGAAAAATTACGATTTTGGCGATAAAAATGAAATAATTATCATACTATAATAATTTTCAATAGCTCGTGGAAAATATAAACATAGAAAATATAGAAAATTAAGACATAAAAGGCAGATTTTATTTCAGAATCTCACGCGATATCAATGAAATTTCAGATTATTTTTCTGAAAATTATTCGAATATTAAGTTATTTCTACTTGCAAACAGTTTACGAGTTTCACTCGTTTATCTCGGAATCTCGAGAAAAATGAAAGAGTATCGAATTCGAGCACGAATATTTGCCAAGCGACAGTTGTTGCCCGTTCTCCTCTGAAACACAGCGAGATGTTACGATTTTTCTATCGTTCTGATAGGTGGTATGCGTGAAATAAAGCTTCCGTTATATCGCGGAGACATTATGCAAAGAACCGTGAGCCGCACGTGTAATGCGATGCACACCTCCGCATACGTATAGGAATTAAATAGAAAAAGGAGAGGGAACGAGGAGGGAAATAAGAGGGCACGTTTACACAGTTTTCAAGATACGAATCGTTAATTTAGATACAGCACGGAAACCATGGTCACGGAAGCACTTGCGCTCTTTTGCATTACACGAGTTTATCTTTTTGCTGCCAGAGAGTAATAACGTGTCGCTTTTCCTTCGTTTCTTGTCACACTTTTCCACACGCGCGATGTTTAAATTAGAAGAATGACGTTACGACCATTGCAAATCGCGCTGATAGGTTCTCTGTTCTTCGATATCAAACATTAGCATAATTTCTATGGAATTTTCAGAGAATCGAGGGATTTTAAACTACCGACTTGCGAATTTTTACTTGCATTCGCAAAGTTTTTGAAAATAACGATTCGCATTTGCAATTAACCCCTTTCCGTGCCATTTAGCTCGACGAAATTTGGACCCAAACGGTAGATGTTAACGCGTGGGAAACAGACTAGACTGATGCTCGAAAACAGTAAAAACTTCAACAAAACAATAACTAAACTGCTTTGTAACGGAGATAATAAGAATCGTGACCAACTCTCGTGGCGGACTGATAGGAATTAAAATTTAATTGGGATCTGATGACTGGCAAAATATCATTCCGTGATATTTACGTTTGGCTCGAGTTGCTGTCCACGAGACTGACACGTGATGTTTACGTTTGGGCTTGTAGCGATCATCATTCTCACCTTCGCCATTGGAGGAATTCTGACTTCGACGACTTTCTCACAAGTCCTCGAAAAACCTCAAAATCCTATATATATATACACAGGCCGATCTTCTGTTCACGAGTATGACTCGTGATATTCATGTTTGGGCCAAAATCTTCATCACGAGTAATCATCGCTCGTTAAAGTACGGAAAAGGGTTAATTTGTATCGTACTTAGTGACATACGTAGGATTTTGAATTTGTATAAACAATGATCAACAATTTAGCAACAGTCTTAAATTCTAATTATAAGTACTCAAGTATAAGAACATGTGTTGTATTTGTACATTTATGTGAATTACTTTTACTTTTACCAACTGTTGATATGCAGCAATGTGCATGCTGCTAATAACCCAATAGTGGGTTTTAAAGGAAAATAAAACAAAAATTTGCGAATTTTTGGAAGGAGAAAATTATTTTGAAATCGTTGAAGAATACTTGTGTGAAATGTATAGTGAGTGTAACGACATGTGCAGTTTTGATCGATGAATTCAGCAAGTAAGGAGAGGTTAGGTTAGAAGGGAAGCAGACTGTACAGAGTGTAAGTAGTAAGGGTCAGGCTGTTGTCAGACATGCGTGGTAAGTGGGATAAAAACCATACTTTCTGAAATATAAATTTTATATCGAGGAAACATAGTCTGTGCTTTGTGCTATAAATTATTGCGTAGTATGAAAACATTATGCTATACTATAGCATACATTATAACCTATAACAAACAGAATATTTAATAACTCTTTTTATACTTCTATTTAACACCCCCTTTTATACTTCTTTTACAACTTTCACACCTATCAATTGATGCAGGATTAACTAACAATTTAGTTATAGTTTTCATCCATAAAGGAGTAAGTACATAAATAAAGTTAGGTAATTCAATATCTTTTTTTTTTTTGACATAAAGAATATTTAATATAAATTTCATAACTTAAAACAATTTATATGCATAGAATTAAGAATCGCGTAAATATTATTTAAACAATTAGATTCCTTTGTTCCAATATATTCAACACACCCCAAATATAATTTAATGAATCATCCCTTTGGAAATACATTTTTACTAATTTAGAAAAACTTTCATAGATAAAATTAATTATTTAATAAACCAAAATTTAAAGAACTCAATTCCCCTTACTTCAATATACATAGCTACAACAAATTCTAATTAAAACGATGGAAAAATATATTATTCTTTTGACATAAAGAATATCTAATATAAATTTCATAATTTAAAACAATTCATATGTATAGAATTAAAAACCGTGTAAATATTATTTAAACAATTAGATTCCTTTGTTCCAATATATTCTAAACACATGAAATACCATTTAATGAAAAATCCCTTTGGAATTACATTTTTACTAATTTAAAAAAACTTTCAAAGATAAAATTAATTATTTAATAAACCAAAATTTAAAGAACTCAATTCCCCTTCCTCCAATATACATACCTACAACAAATTCTACTTAAAGCGATGGAAAAAATATAAAGAAAAATTCCACGAACTTCGGATTATCCACATAAATTGCTTGCAACTTCAATCCCAACGTCAAATATTAAAAAACCGAGAAAAACAAGGTAAAGAACGTGATCTCGATTTTCCTCTCTCCGGTTCCGTCACGTTTCCCAAATTCTGAAAGATTTAGCACTCGCCATTCCGGACGGCCGTGCACGAATCTCCGAACGAAATGAACGTCACGGGAAAGACGGACGACAGATTTATTCGACGGGGAATTAGGAAGTTTTTCGAGTAAGTTTACAACTCACCAGACACGTCGATAAACGTGGTGACCGGGTCGCCGTCGCCGGCTTCGTTGTAAGCCAGACAAGTGAAGTTCGCTTCGGTTTCCAGATTAACCGACTTGATGGTGAGGGTGGCGTTGTTTTCATCCGGAAGTCTGTGAAGGCCTCGTAGCCATTTGAAACCGACTACCTTCGGACGTCCCGGATCCAGCACGAAGCACGTAATGGACAATGGTTGTTTCTTTATTACCTGCTGGGGATCGTACGAGATCGAAGCTGGTCCAGGTTTGTCTGTCACAGGAAGAGGAAGTCGTTACACGTACGTACGAACTCGAATTACACAGGCGTTCCTTTATTTTCTTTGGTAATTGACAATTTTTATTGCAGAGTGCATTGGGTGGTGTTGCATTGACGTGTGATTTGGAAAAATAAATTTTCAATTGGTATGTTAGGATATAGGTTGCTGGGATTTTTTAGTTTTCAATTGCAATGTTAGGGTATAGATTTTTGAGATTTTTTAATTTTCAATTGGAATATTAGGGTGTAGGTTGCTGGGATTTTCTATTTTTCAATTGGAATATTAGGGTATAGGTTGCTGGGATTTTTAAATTTTCAATTGCAATGTTAGGGTATAGGTTGCTGGAATTTTTTAATTTTCAATTGCAATGTTAGGGTATAGATTTTTGGGATTTTTTAATTTTCAATTGGAATATTAGGGTGTAGGTTGCTGGGATTTTCTATTTTTCAATTGGAATGTTAGGGTATAGGTTGCTGGGATTCTTTAGTTTTCAATTGCAATGTTAGGGTATAGGTTTCTGGGATTTTTTAATTTTCAATTGGAATATTAAGGTGTAGGTTGCTGGGATTTTTTAATTTTCAATTGCAATGTTAGGGTATAGGTTGCTTGGATTTTTTAATTTTCAATTGCAATGTTAGGGTATAGGTTGCTGGGATTTTTTAATTTTCAATTGCAATGTTAAGGTATAGGATGCTGGGATTTTTAAAATTTTCAATTGGAATATTAGTGTATAGGTTGTTGGTATTTCTTAATTTTCAATTAGAATGTTAGTGTATGGGTTGCTGGCATTTTTTATTTTTCAATTGGAATGTTAGGGTATAGGTTGCTGGAACCTTTTATTTTTCAATTTGTGTATGTTGGGAAGTTACTTTAACTTGTAATATTAGTAGTAGTTATAGTATATATAGTGTAATATAGTATAGTACAGCTATTATTTGTGGTCAAAATACACCTATGGATTCGATGTATTAACCATAGTTATACTACAAACTAGATTACACTATGAATTATATTACAAGTCGTAGTTGTGATATATAAATTATACAGATTGTAATTATACCAGTTCACGGGAAATAATAGAAATTTTTTGATTCAAGGAAATTAAGGATTCAAGAATTTTTCAAATTGAACAAATTATGGATTCAATAGAACGTACAATTAATTCTGTTGCAAAGTTTGAAATTTTACGGCTCATTTTCTCGCAGCCATTGAAACAAATTTTAATTGAACACTTTTTTAATAAACCTTTTACGAGGAAAAGTTTCACGACGAGTAAAAACATTGGTTAAAACCTGTTGAGTGAATTTTTAAAATTTTATCTCTCAACGTAGATATTAGTTTTCGTACTCATCCATTCAATATATTCGGGAAATTATTAGATATCGCATATAAAAGTTGAATCGAAATTCTGCAGTTTAGGTTACGAAAAATGGTCTGGTACAGACACACGAATGGGAGTTTATCTGAATAAAAAATTTATTTTTTGAAATTTCGTTCATCACGAATTCTCCCCAGGAATAGTTTAAAAACAATCACTATAGTTTTTCTGATAGCTTTACGTTTGCATAAAATGTTTCAAAAAAGGATTGCAAAATGCTACACTGTATAAATATTATTTTTTCCCTCAGCACTCTGCACCCCTTAATGTACCAGGGGGTAGATATTTAAAGGGGGTACATAATTAAGACCACAATTTTAGTGTTACCTGCGTTTTAATCAATAGGATTAATATCAAAAAAAGAAAATCAATGGAAATAATTATAGAAGCAATGAAAAAGTAATGGGGTCTTATAGGACCCCCTTGGTAAAAAACATCAATGATCATACCTTGGTATACCAAACTCCATAATCAAAATTTCATTTGAATATAGCAATTTTACAATGACATGATTATTAAGTATACGATGATTAATAAATAAAATAAAATAAAATAAAATAAAATACAAGATACATAAATACACTGATACGTGACTTCCAAGTCACGTGACGTGATAGGAGATTAAAAAATTTTTGTAAAAGACTGCTGGAACGCAGCTGGATGAAAATTGGAAAATAGTAATTTCCCAATGAAAGGCAACCCATTGGAGAAACCTCATAAAACTAATTTCCCTCCGCTTATTTTCCTCTCGACTAGTATTCCTCGCGGGCAAACTCCTCGACGTTGTAGTAAAAGTCTAAGCAACGTTCTTTTGCCAGGTAAATCTTGCAAAGCAAGAGCGAAAAGGGAGAAGGAAAACAAATTCCCGTAAACAGAAGTCCCGAGGTAGAGCCCGGAGCGAATGGGCAAATGGATCGGATCGAGAAATTAAAAATTAAAAGGGGGCTCACAATAGACCATGACAGGTGCACTCGGTGAAAGTGGTCCCCAGCCAGCGTCGTTTCTGCCCTCGCAAGAGTAGTTCCCGTGAAAGGAGCGTCCCACCGCTTCCAGCAGCAGCTTGCTCGGGTCGATATCGCAGAAAATTAAAGATTCCTCGGTGGTCGTGGTGGTCATGCTGCTATTTCTCGTGCAATCCGGAAGTTCTTTCAGCAGGTCCCCGTCCAAGTACCATCGGACGGCGGTCAGGCTTGCTGGATTTCCAGTAACAACCTCGCAGGTCAGCGAGACGTTCTGACGGTCCGCCTCGTTCACCGGCGTTTCCGGGTCCATTATCACCTTGACCACTGGCTTGTCTGCGAGCAAATGAGAGTCGGAACAGTGAAACGGCTGCTCATCATCGATTCCACCATGGAAACCTCGCTGTTTGCGCTTTTCGCAATTTATTTTTCATACCCTCTACTTTTACAGACATTTTTTTCTTCCGGCTAGGAAAATTTTATGGCATTCGATTCAACATTAGTTCAATCGCAGACCTTTTTAGATTATCACGAGAATTAAATTTAGGTATATCATGTACCTAATTTCGTTTCGTATTTTTCTTTTCGTTGATTATAATAAATAGGAGAACAGTTGAGCCGTTCACTGCACGAATCGATTAACTCCATTTTTTGAAAAATCTTAAATTTAAGTGTCAAAGCACTTGGTATAGTTATACCTTTTCGTTGATTATAATAAATAGGAGAACAGTTCAGCCGTTCACTGCCGAAATCGATTAACTCCATTTTTTGAAAAATCTTAAATTTAAGTGTCAAAGCACTTGGTATAGTTATAACTATATTATTTCATTACATTCCTCCACCTTCTGTTTTATGCAGTTAATCAATTTGTGCAGCGAATGGCCCAATTATATTTGAGTTTTGGGTTTTTGGTAATTATAGTGATCAGTGAATTTGTTTATATGGGGTACAGTTCAATCAAGATTCGAGTGTTTTATTATTCGCATAATAGTTTAGGAATTAAACAGGTTTAAAATGTGTTTTAGAATTAACAATTTTCATTGAAGTCATATTAAGTAATTATAAGTAATTATATAATTATTTAAAAAAAGAAATTGTTTTTATATGAAATCGTTTATATCGATTAATTTTCCGAAACAAAACGAAAGAATGTATTTGAAAAGAATTAAAATATCGAGTTAATCAATTTGTGCAGCGAATGGCTCAATTATATTTGATTTTTAGGTTTTTGGTAATTATAGTGATCAGTGAATTTGTTCATATGGGGTACAGTTCAATCAAGATTCGAGTGTTTTATTATTAGCATAATAGTTTAGGAATTAAACAGGTTTAAAATGTGTTTTAGAATTAACAATTTTTATTGAAGTCATATTGAGTAATTATAAGTAATTATATAATTATTTAAAAAAAGAAATTGTTTTTATATGAAATCGTTTATATCGATTAATTTTCCGAAACAAAACGAAAGAATGTATTTGAAAAGAATTAAAATATCGAGTTAATCAATTTGTGCAGCGAATGGCTCAATTATATTTGATTTTTAGGTTTTTGGTAATTATAGTGATCAGTGAATTTGTTCATATGGGGTACAGTTCAATCAAGATTCGAGTGTTTTATTATTAGCATAATAGTTTAGGAATTAAACAGGTTTAAAATGTGTTTTAGAATTAACAATTTTTATTGAAGTCATATTGAGTAATTATAAGTAATTATATAATTATTTAAAAAAAGAAATTGTTTTTATATGAAATCGTTTATATCGATTAATTTTCCGAAACAAAACGAAAGAATGTATTTGAAAAGAATTAAAATATCGAGTTAATCAATTTGTGCAGCGAATGGCTCAATTATATTTGATTTTTAGGTTTTTGGTAATTATAGTGATCAGTGAATTTGTTCATATGGGGTACAGTTCAATCAAGATTCGAGTGTTTTATTATTAGCATAATAGTTTAGGAATTAAACAGGTTTAAAATGTGTTTTAGAATTAACAATTTTTATTGAAGTCATATTGAGTAATTATAAGTAATTATATAATTATTTAAGAAAAGAAATTGTTTTTATATGAAGTCGTTTATATCGATTAATTCTCTGAAACAAAACTAAAAGAACGTAATTGAAAAGAATTAAAATATCGAAATTAATTATTTCGTTCAGTACTCTCTCTGGGAAAGCCAATTATTTTAATACCCCACGTACCTCCGTCTGCAAACACAGTACTCGATCTGGGATAAAAATTGCCAAAGCAACCAAACAATACCGACCTATACAACTGCAATCAATTCAATATCCCATCGAACACCCAATTGTCCATCTCTCTGATCCACATTAAAAACAACATCCGAACCTATGCACCATCTATCCAAACGAATAAACAAATAACACCACTCACCCACCTGCCTACCTACCTATCTACAAATAAATAAGCACGGAAAAAGAAGATTCAGCAGGTCACTCCATCGAACGATCAGCAGACAGGGGTAAAAAGAGGGATGCCAGGCTCATGTATTTTTTACGAGCTCGAACATCGCATAAAGATTTACGTCCAAGGCGAAACTATTCAAAATGAAGCGTATATATTACTTGGGGCCGAACACGGCCGAGAACGATCCGTTTATGCTACATCCAGCCAGATAAACAGCGAAACGAGACAGCCGGGGTTCAAGGAGCACCTGGCGGAAAACTTTCGTCGACGATCCAATCAGCAGATTGGCTGAAACATTTTTTCCTCTTTCTCTTTCTCTTTCTCCCCTTACCTTCGGCCAAGGTAATCAAGATTTCAGCAAGTTCAAAACAAAAGAATCGGGAAAGCGTCCGCGGAGTTTGCACTGGCCGGGAGTGGCTGAGGGGGTGGAAGATCGGCGCGCAGGGTCGGAAAAACAAGGCACGCGAGAGGGAGACGCGATCCGGACGAAACTAATTTTCCGTGTTCGAATTCACGGCCTGTTCCCATGGATTGTTTGCGCAAAATACAGCACCCCCGAGCGGTATTAAGGCTGCAATTAGAATTTCATTGTATCGCGGCCGAGTTTGCCGTAACACGCGACGTTAACATCCCGGAACCAGCAACGGCTGACCCAATAACAGGTAACACCACGTGGGAGAGGGAGCTTATTTAATCCATGCTGATATATTTACAGCTCCCAACAGGGTAGAACGCAATCGTTATGTCTCGTTGATCCGTGAATTTCCTTCCAATAGTTTCTTTTTGTTTTATTTTCATCTCGTTTTCTCTCGCGTCTTCGTCCATCTTGATCCTCGGTGTTGGAGCAAGGGCGTTTGTCTGGGTGTTTGGTTTATTTAAGGGATTTTCAGAAGAAAATTCACGGTCTTTGAATTTACAGAGCCTTTTCGATGCTCCTGGTTTGCGGGGACAGATGGACGGACGTGGAGAAATTGGGGTGGTTTTCTTCTTCTTCAGTCGGGAGATTAGGATTTGGTGAGGACTGTGACACGTATGGAGATGGAATGGCGAGGTGGCTTTGTCAGGAAACGGGTGGAGTATTATTTCAGGAGACGTTGATTGATCGAGGTAAATGAAGTATGTGGTTTAATCGGCTTCATAAGGTTAATGGGCTTGTTCGAGTTCCTTTACTACCTGAACTGTGACACCGGTTCAGGTGATTTCTTGTTTTTACAGGGTTACACGCGATTCATTTTGGCATAAATTAATTTTCGCTTTTATCGAAGAACGAGTGACCATTAAACGTCGTTTCTCGATTGCAAACGGTTAAATTAAAACATTAACTTAATAATTTGACTAAAAACACTTCCCCTGGGAACAGAGTATACAGGAAATTAAATGTTAATCCTTTGCGAATGAGTACCATCAGCAAATAATAGCGAATTATTTTCGAACAAGTATCGATGACGCATATGAAATTAAGAATTATATTTTTTGGACGTTAATTACTATAATATAATAAAATCGATATGAGAGAAGAAAAGTGCATCATCAACTCAATATAGATATACGAAAATTTTTATCTCATAATGGAAAACAAATTTCCATATAAAATAAAATTTATAATTTATGTAGCTCCTATCCTCTCAGCCAGACAGAATTTAAAAAATAAAAATAGAAAAATTAAAAATGGCGAATAATTAGATGTTAATTCTTTGCGAATGAGTATTATCAACAAATAATAATAGCGAGTTGACTTCGAATAATTATCGATGACCCATGTGAAATTAAAAATTGTACCTTCTGTGCGTTAACTACTATGATATAATAAAGTCGAATCGAGAGCAGAAAAGTGCATCAATAAAATATATATATACAAAAGAATATGTTTGACAATGAAAGACAAATTTCCATATAAAATAAAATTTATAATTTATGTAGCTTCTATCCTCTCAGCCAGACAGAATTTAAAAAATAAAAATAGAAAAATTAAAAATGACGAATATCTGATCAGATTAGTATCCCCATAAAATCAGCTTATTATGACACAATTTGCTATCAAACACAACGACTAAGGCACGAATGTGTCCCTTTTAAGCGCAAGAAGAGGAACTAGGAACGACGAGGATGAAGATACAAGATGGCAGCCGAGCTTTCCCGATGCTTCTGTTGTTCTCCTCTAGATTTATGTTCGACACTTCCTCCAACAAGTTCTGTATCCCGTACATAGTCGGCTGAAATGTAGAGCAATAAGTGTCAGCTACAACCCCGACCACGCAGTTTGGATACCTTGAATTATTTTAACACTTCCCACTGTGACTTTTGTCGACGCCGGTTCATCCTGCGGCTTTCAGATATTCCAGGCTATCGGAACACTCAGGACCAAATTCGAAACTCCACGACGTTGTTCTGTTTCGATGGCTACTGTTCGAAGCGAGCTCGATAACTATATCTATAGCAAGGAAGTTCGTCTCGTGTATTGTGCTCAACGGTTTAACTCAGGTTTAAAGTTCCTTCATTTTGTCGCCTCGTTCGCCTTTAATTGTGACCTCTATTTTTTAGCGAACAAGACGTAATTTCGCTTTAAAGACCACAAGATGGCGTAATTATATAGTAACTACTTAGTTATCGCAGTTATGGTGTAGTTATATAGTTGTGAAGTTGTGGAAACGGAAAAATGGAAAAAAATTTTGTATCGAAGGTGGATAATTGAAGATTCGAGGATTCGGAATTTAAATTTCCTTTTTGTGCAAGTATTAGTGAGGTACGAGCGAGAAACTAGAGGTATGTCGGTGGGCTAGTCATGAAACGAGATTATTTCAAATTAATATTAATTTTTGCAGAGGCTAATATTCCACAAATTCGAGTAAATAATTATTGGAAGAATTATTAGGATATCAGAATTATTTTAAAAGAGGTAATAATTATATGG